ATAACCATCCGATCAAGTGAAAATAATACTTATAATACTAATAACATAATATAGGTACACACTTTGAAAATTGAAATTAAATAAACTATTTACAAAGTTTTCTTCGTAAAAAAAATAACATACATTTATGGTAAATCGATCTTTACGAGGTACCATATTCATTCCCGTAACTTGTTGTACGCATTTTGATCAAATTATTATAGGGCACCGAAAATCTTGAAGGGTTAAATATCACTTGTATTTTAAAATCAGTATTTATTGATGCATTAGTTTTTTTCTTTTTCTGATTTTGTATTAACTGAAGAATTATTAACTAAAATAAAATTTAATAATATGACACTTTTTCAAATTTCGGGAAAATAATATAAATAGTAAAAATACTATTATTAATCGTTTTTAATTGATACTAAAATTGTATATATTAATGTTACTGGATATAGAAAACACTCAGGCATACTATATTTTGTCAATTTTTGTAATTCCTATTATAGTAACGTGTCAGAAGGTATAATTGTTAATTACGTCGATATTGACAAAGAGTGACATATAAACTGATGCTTTTTTTCAAGAAAACTATATTATCATACACCATAATAGTGAAAAAAAGACCATATCAACCGTACTTATTAAATTAATTTAAACGTTCATATAAAAGCATATTATACAAGTTAGAAAATATTTTTTAGCAACAAAGAAATTAGTAATAGTAACTACAACACACAATATAATAAACCGCGTCCTGCCAATTTTAAATCACTGTTTGTGGTAATACATATTATTTCCTAAATCAGTAAAGATTTTTTTTTATAAATTTTTGTTTATTATTTCAAGATGTTAAAAAAAAATGGTAGTACTACGTTATATTCGTATATTCGTTATTTATAACAAATTTTAGATGAAAATTTAAAAATATATTTTTAATTATTCTAACATCAGGGTTTTAAAATGTGATAAAATAAATTGTATAAACATTTAAGTACACAAATAATACAACAAAATATTTTTACTTTAATAAAATAATATTCTTTATTTTGATTGTAAATTATAAACTTTAACTAAAACGTCGTTTACAATAATCGTACAAAGTCTAGAGGTACAATAATTAGAGAATTTGTTTACATGGTTTGTATTATAATCTTTAATGTTTTAACAAAACTGTCAAATTTTATAAAAAAAAAAATGTGCATAGTTTTATTGTTCATGTACGCCAGAAAAAGTTGCAAATCAAAGAAATTATGCGCAAACGTCTCCTGTACGTATCGATCATTAAACCGATTTGGATCTATGGTATTCAACTGTGGGATTGTGCCAGTAAGTCTAAAATCGAACTCATCCAACGTTGCCAGAACATCGCTCTTCGTACCATTGTTACAGCATATCGGTATGATAAGAACGACATCATCCATTGCCAACTCCTCAATAACTTGCGACTCAAACGACTGAAGCCATTCGACTTAGTCTAATTATTAGATTAAGAATGGGACTACTTCACTAGAAGTAGAACCCCACACATGTTTTGTTTATGTTTATGTATATTTTACTCGTACGCATGTATTAATACTCAGGTTTGACCCTTCTGATGAACGAAGTCGAGGAGCTCGATGGCCAAGTATTGCCCGGAGCATATAAATGTACATGTTCCGATCAAGACATGGGTGAAGGAGTTAGACAAGAAGGTTGAGAAAGCAGACAGTAAGTCGTGGAGAGTCCCCGGCGAGTAAAATCAAAGCGGGCGTGGACGTTCAGGCTCTAGGCCTATAAGCTATAAGCCCTAAAATTTTAAACTAAACCGTCTATGCCCCAATTGATGGGAATAACGAACGTTAAACGTAAAAGAGAGACATACAGTAAATGTTTTCCTAAATCAAAAATGTTTTATAATTATAACTTATTACAAGGAGTTTTTGTAAAATCAATTATCGTGTAAATTGTAATCCAATATTGTAATATTATTATTTTTTTTTTATCAAAACCAAGCTGTTTTTTGAAGCTTCTGTTGTAATGCAAACAAATGGTAAGATCTTGTATAGTTTTATTACATATTTTTTTTATCGAAAACAAGTTGTTTTTCTTAACATATTTTGATTTGCAGTTGCTTTTGTATTTAAATTTTTCACCTATTGTATTTCTTTAATAATATTTTACAATATTTTCCCACATTTTGTGTGGTTTTCAATTGAACTGTTATTTTTCAACATGAAAACATGTTGGTAGCAAAGTTAGCATGTCGTTTTTTACAACGACTATTGCGATGTAAATAAATCACAATACCTCTAAGATCGTAAACTTTTAATTTTTAACGACTTAAGAACATAATTTACAAAATTTTGACTTTATAAAACTAAAAAAAGAAAAAAAAATCAACAAATCTACAATTGGCTACTATTCCTATTAAACACATTATAACACTTAAGGACAAAAAACCTAAATCTACTACAATCTATTAAACTCAAATCATAAGAACCTGCATACTTTACCAAAACAGTTGTTATTTCATTTTTTTTTGTTTATTCAGATTACTTATGATTTTTTTTTTAAACAACTTTTTAATCTTGATGTATTTGGTTTTTAGGTTATGTTTGTATTTAAACTTTAGAACCATTTTATTTCTAATCATTAATATTTTATGTATTCAACTGTTTTAGTTAAAATGACTTAATTGCACAAAAGTTAACGATACATATTTTAAATCTAAGTATAATGTTTTTTCCACTATTTGTATAATTATATATTGTTAATTTTTTATGAAACATGTCAATTAATATCCAAGTACGAGACCGATCTCAGTCGGTTCTTTTGGTGGATGGTCTTGCATCCGAAACTTGAAAACTCCGGCGACGAAGGGCGATCTGATTGGCAAAGTCAATGGGTGCGTGTTCAGAAGAAAATGTTTAGTGTAAATTTGCAAGGCTCTGTTAAAGGTTTTCACATAGATATAACATATATTTTAATATTTTGCGTACGAGTCCGCAACACCACGGGATACATTAATATGTATCTAAGGTGGTTAGTAAACATATCAAGTTTCTGGCTACTATTTTAGTGTTTTCATAATATCAGGCCTAAAACAATTCATAGAGAATATGGCCCCTTAAATTATTGACTTTATTATTCATTTCTATTTTGAACGTTGTGAATACAACATAGATGCCCCCCCCCCATTTTAACCCACAACCCCATCCCTCATCTTCTATCTCTTACCCCTATCTCCTATATCCTATCACATAAATGTAACATCCCCATCCCTAACCCCACCCCCAGTCCACCCATATCCCCATTTCCATCCCCATTCCCACCCTCATAAAAAGGACATATAAGGATATTATAAGGCTAAATGTTCGATGTTATGACTGTCGACAGTTATTATGTTGACAAAAATGTATAATTATTAATTGTATTAATTAGATTGGTATCTAGTATCTTTAACGTCGGTCACTTTACTTAACACTTAATTACCTACCTTACTAATAATTATTATTAACTAAATCAGTGTAAATAGTTTAAAAATATATAATGATTATTGACTTATAATTCGCGAAGATTGTGTGCAATTTTTCGTGTACGGTAATTAAATGTACATTACGGTAATTTTGAAGACATTGTACATTAATCACATTTTTTAATTCTGGCAACACTGGGTATTACCTTAATATATTATTAATGTGATTTCCTGCCCTTTGTTTTCTGCCTTTTATTTAACTAATAATTTATAATATAAAATTGTTCGATTTTTTTTTTTTTTACCACAGCACTTTAGTTTAACTGCAGTCTGCAAGTGTATAAAAACCTGCACTTCTCGGTTTCCTTTTAAACAGTTCAGTAAATCAATATTATAACTTATAACCATGTTTTTCCACTTTATTGTGCAGTAGGCAGCCCGACATTGTTAGCTACCGTAAACGTCCTTATCCCTATGCCATCCTCCCGCTCCCGACCTCTATTCCATACCCTAATACATTACATTGATTTCACAATAACCACACCTTATAAAGAATGTGTCGTGCAGCGAAATTATATATCCAATTTAGTTTCTTATCTCCCTTCTTTATAATTCGTGATGTGTGTTTGTCTGTCTGTTAGTTTTTTCCCCGTCTATACTACTGGACGGATTTTTTCGCGGTTGGTTTCGTTCGATTCCTTGCATCACGGCGCTTAGAATAGGCTACCTTAAGTTCCCAGTACTCTTCGACTTCATTGATATCCTGTCTGGAAGTAGGGACTTGGTAGATCGGTAGTTATTGTTCAAGTTGTTGATAGGTAGTTTCTAATCGAACACACATGTCTGTTGTAACCAACTTCATTCTCTTTTCACTTCCACGTGTTCAATCTTCCTCAAATTTATCTGAAGTGAGAAAAGAAAATGCCGTGAAAACGTCGCTCAAATTTATGTGAGACTGTCCAGGCGACAAGAACCAGGACTCTTTTATAATTTGATTAGATTTTTAATAAGCAACACTAGTGATTTTAAAATTTGATAATGAACTTAATCCTTAAATTTCTCCACTGCTCTTTAACCAGAACAATCCTAAATGCGGTACCCTTATGCCAACTTTTGGGGTGCGTCTCAAATTAGCTCATTCAAATCCGTCAACAGAGTTCAAAGAGGAACAAAGTCGTTATCATTTGATAAAGAAACCTTGATTTGACAGTGATTAGGTACACTATACCAGCCAATTAGCCGACTGACCTCTAGACATTTCTTTCCATTTTCAACCCATAAAGTAAGCAACATGGGACACTTGATTTTTAACCATCTAACTTTAAGCAAAGAGCGCCAGACACTCGCTTGTAGGGCCAAGCCTTAGAGTATTATTAGAAAAACATAATTTAAACATGATTATCACTTATAATTAGAGGTAAAACCACCATAACCATACACGAATATCAAAAATAAATGTCTTTGTATATTTGTTGTAGATGATTTACTTGAAAGAATTGGTGGTTACTTATACACGTTGGTTCCGTTTTATTTGTTGAAGGACATCTATCGTCGTTTTTCGTCATTCCGACGCTGCGACCGTATTGTCGAGCTTGACAATCTGCTTTTCCAATAATGTTTTTCCAAAATTCGACTCACTCTGACATTGCAGTACCCTTTGTAAAAAATTGTCTTTTAATGAACGGTAAACTTCGGCTTTTTGGTCGTATCTGATCTCCAATGCACCGTTTTCGACCATCAGGTTTTCGTAACGTTCCATGCATTTCTTCAGTTCCTTCTTATTGTACTCCAGACTTTTTTTGTTTTTTTTAAAATGAATCATTTTTTGTTCCAAACGAATTATGTCGCCGTTGGCTTTTTCCAATAGACCTTTAAAGTGTTGATTTTCTCTTTCTAGAGACGACACGTACTTGTCGGTGGACGAAGTTTTTATGCTGAGCATTTCTAATTTTTCCTTGAGTACGCTCACCAACGTTTGGGTGCTGACCAGTAGCTCTTGATAGTAACTGTGCATGTCGTCAAATTCGTTTTTGTGTTTCTCCAACAACATCTTCACTTGTCGTTCCTTAGCGTTCTCGATCAGCGCCACGCCCAATTCGTGTTTTTTCAGAACACCTTCGACGACCGTCTGCCGTTTTTTCTCGATTCGTTCCATTATCTGAGACATCTGATTTTGCATCACCTCGGCTTTCGCGTCCAGCTCTTGGACATGGGCAACTTTGATGTTTTTTATCTGATTGGTATGGTCCAGAGCGTTGTGCAGAATGGTCTGCTTCAGCGACGAGTTCACGTTGAACAACTCCGTAATTTGTCGGTCACATTCCGCAGCTATGCTTTTCAAAACGTTTGAATTCTGCGACTTTACTTGTTTCAGTTCGAGGTTTTGCTCGTAGACCAGCTGAAGTCGTTGTTGCCGGGCTCGTTTTTTCACTTGTTCCACACGTTGCGCGTTGTCTCCCGCTTCGTTTTGTGTAGCCACCATGTCGGCCATGAGAGTCGTTAAATTTTGTTTTGTGATTTCCCAAAAAATTCGCATTTGATCCCTTTCAATTTGATAAGTCGACCTGTTCTGCCGTTCTTTTAACAGTTCGTCGTACAACTTCTGAGTGAACTTCATCAAAGCTGTATGTTCGAGCTCGGCCACGTTGACATTGTCGATGATGACGTTTTGCTGTTTCTTGTTTTTCTTCGACATTTTTAGGCAAACTCACTTGAAAAAAAAAGCAATAATGTTTTTAAAATGCTTTTTTTGCAATAATTTACAGACGTCAACATTTCAGTGTTTACGTATCAAATATATTAGAAAACTTGTAGTCAAACCGGTTGTTATGACTACCATAATTCATAGGCCAGCCAGTGTTCACCTAGGCTTTAGAGGATTTCGATTGTGTGTTGTGACGCATTTGGTTTGTGATTACACCCTTGCGCTATAGGACACACACACCCATCTAGACATTAACATTCCATCACTATTGAATCTAACCTACCGTAATACAATTAACTGTTTATCATCAAAAATTGATCGTAAGCTGAATTCTACTCCGTACTTATACTCTCCAGTCCCAACGAACCCCACCAGTTACGCTCTTTTCTTTGTTGTCTTATTTCTTAACTTGTTTGTTGTTTATTAAAACTGAACTTGGTTTGTTTTGTAATGGATTATTTTCGGTTTTACTAGAATTTCTAATATTTACTTACATTAGGTAAACGACACTTTGGTTTTACTTCAAAATCAGGTTTGTTTCAATATAACATAAAATATATATAGTAATAATATCGTTTGGTTAAACTCGACCAAGCTGACTTATAATTTGCTTTTGTCGTTTCCAATGACTTAAAACTATTAGCAGCGTCCCCTTCCAATGACGATCTAAGATAAAAAAATCTTTTGTATTGTATTTAGGCTTGCATTGTCATGTATTAAGGCCTTAAATATATCGTTGAAGGTTGCCCACTCTTTATATTTTCGCGAAAAGGTAGGAATATTTAACGCCGCTAATTTCACCATGTGGCAGAAAATGTTTGCTTGGTCACTTCCGTCATTAAATTTATTTTCAGTCTTATCTTATTACGTTGATCATCCTTATCTTTCAAAAATCCTCTTTGCCTCAACCATGACTTTATAATACAGATGGCTATCGATGAATCTGTTGTTGAGTCTTTATTCAGATTTTCCCTATACGCACAAGCATACGCTTAACTGCATTAAACTCGATAAATCTTTAGTACTACTTACGAAATACTTTAAACTTTTACTTTTGTAGTACTAAAACTTTACGCTCGAAAAAAGAGATAAAAATACGACACTCTTTATTGCGTACTTGCAAACTTAACTAGATAAATTTATTATTCGACACTAATTAATTGCCCTAGTTAAATTAACCGCATTTCGACGCTAATTCTTAATCCCGGTCGAAGGACCAAATGTTTGGGACCTTAAACCCTTCGCACGTAGACTTATTATTTTTAATTAAAAATCCGCTAAGATTAATTAAATTAAGATTAATTTACATGATCCGCGGAGGTATTCAAAACTACACAACAAACCGGTTTTTCAACAATAATAATAATATACAAAACACAACAATGTTGTTCTAACTTCCAACGCGACTTCTTCCAAAAGACGATCTTGGATTGGTCCCTAACCCTTGCCAGCTGCAAAACTATTTCGGATAACAGTCTATAGTTCCGATGAAAAACCACATTTCGAAGTGACGAAATGGATGTATTCAAAAAAAATGTAAGTACTTAAACTTACTAAGATTAATTAATGGTGAAGCTATGTCGACAGATGGGATGGATGGAGAGGAGTAGTGGTCCCGACAAAGGACCTAAATGTCCTGTTTATTAAACCAATACAAATTATGACTGAAAGTAATGAAATAATTTACAATAGCAGGCAAAAACTTTTTATTATGCAGTACATTTAATTATTTGACAATTTTGACATTACTGTGGCACACAAAAAATATTTAAGAAATATAATAACATAAGTACTTCATATTTTATGTATTATTTATTAAACTAAACCCGAGAGTATAGAAATGATTTATTTAAATTATATATTATAACTCAAGAGTTATGCTTTTCCCTACCGACATATGGTTTTCGTTATCTACATTATGTAAATTAGTCCCAACGTATTTGCATGACTTGATGACTGTCTCTCCATGACTTATAACACAAGTATGGTCGAGTGAAATAGCAGCATTTGTTGCGTATTCTTTTGGATATTGTACACTCATGAACAATCCTATGATTCGACATATGTGGATAAATTCAACATGATGGTTCTTTGGTTCTAAAAAAAAATGTTCAAAAATTAGTCAAATTTAGCTTGCTGCACTGACAAAAAAATACATAGTTGGACAAACTAAAATTAAGGCTAATCTTATATCCTCGCACAAAAGCAAAAGTGTATTGAGTTACAAAATGTAAATTTTACAGGAGAGAGAAAAATTAAATTATTTGTCAATAAATTAATAATTACTAACTTCTTTTTCCTAAACCTATAAGCCCCACACACTTCACACCTATCAACTCACATTAGGTAGGTGGCTGTAATGTGAGCTTTCTCCTCGCCACCCTGTAGCTGTTATTGTTTCTTCCATCAAATTTACTTATTGTACATAATTTAGTATAGATTGTAAATATTCTAACCAACGTCAAAAATAACGAAATATAACGATGTATATAGCTTGCGTACGAGTCCGCAACACCACGGGGTACATTTTATGTATCTAAGGTGGCTAGTAAACATATCAAGTTTCTGGCTAATACTTTAAGCTAACTGTGAATAATAAGTCTTTAATTATAAATAAATTGTATTAATCGTGGTGAAATATCATTTGTAATAAACTTGTGTTAATTCTTATTTTGACGAAATCCACTAAATACTCAAAGTCTAACAGTTATTTCAACTATAAATGTAATGTGCTAATTGTAATCTTTGTTAGTCCACATATGTATTTTTTCCATGTTACTACTAGTTTTTTTATTAGTTTATTATTTACGATTTATAATATTCGTTATTAAATCGCCTAATGGTTTAAGCAACAGAACTCTTCGCTTAGCTCCCAGGTCATCCATACTGTCAAGACCTTTAACTGAAAAATTCAATTAATGTGTTAAACAAGGTATAAATAATTTTGTAAAGTATTTTTATTATGACAATTTTGTAACCTCAGTAAACACGGCGCAATTTCAAAATTACAAATTACATTATTCGAAAAACTCACATTAAACAAACACACAAATCGTTAAAATATGTTTTTATTGGAATTATACGTTTATAATTTATATGGTGTCTATTTAAAAAAACCAGTACAGTGGGGTCGGGGCATAGTGGGGACGGAGCATAGTGGGGACGGGGAGGTCACAGGTTTATAGGAACTTTTAAATCTGAAAGTGATAAAATCACTTTCGAAAAAACGCTTCGATGCAAATCGGTAGTTAGTATTTTCAAGGCAGTACAATCTAAACCAAGCACAGTGTAAGCTAGGAAAGTTAGAAAGTAATAAATTGAATCGGCCATTTCAAAAACGACTTAGGTCACCGATTTTTCAAAACTGTCTTTTTATCAAATGTAATAATTATATACTTAGCTACGTATTCTGTGTGAAAACTCAATTTGTCAGACTCATATTTAATACAAATGTTGAGTACAAGAAATTTGAATCACTGCAAAATATATTTATGAAGTTTCTTGTGGCTAGTGTAATATTTCAAATTTGTGACTTGTGTCGTTTTTTAAATGACTGATAAAATTACAAAATAGAAGCATCAAAGCGTTAGTTTGAAAGTGATTTTGTCCGAGAGGACTAGTATAGTAGAGTATTGGCATAATGTAATCAAAGCAATGAGGAAACGGAGAGGTCACAGGTCTACAAGAATTATTATAAATAAAAGTGATAAAATTGAATAAAATCGCTTTCAAATAAACGCTTTGATGCTTCTATTTTGTAATTTTATCAGTCATTTAAAAAACGACACAAGTCACAAATTTGAAATATTACACTAGCCACAAGAAACTTCATAAATATATTTTGCAGTGATTCAAATTTCTTGTACTCAACATTTGTATTAAATATGAGTCTGACAAATTGAGTTTTCACACAGAATACGTAGCTAAGTATATAATTATTACATTTGATAAAAAGACAGTTTTGAAAAATCGGTGACCTAAGTCGTTTTTGAAATGGCCGATTCAATTTATTACTTTCTAACTTTCCTAGCTTACACTGTGCTTGGTTTAGATTGTACTGCCTTGAAAATACTAACTACCGATTTGCATCGAAGCGTTTTTTCGAAAGTGATTTTATCACTTTCAGATTTAAAAGTTCCTATAAACCTGTGACCTCCCCGTCCCCACTATGCTCCGTCCCCACTATGCCCCGACCCCACTGTACTGGTTTTTTTTTTTTTTTTAATTAATTTACAACAAATTTATGAATATTCAGGTTTTTTTCGTGAGAAGTTTGAAATAGGTTTAATAGAAATAAAAGTAGAAAAGAAGATAACATTTATTATGACCAAGGTGGAAGAAGGAAAATGAAATGAGGAACGCCGACCTGGACAGATATTAAATTTCAATAATTTCAAGAAAAGATGTACTGAAAATGTATAGGTAAGCAATTTTTACTAATAATAATTGTTTTATGCACTTGAATGTGCACTTGTGAGATTAGGTCAGAGGAAACCCGATTTTTAAAAGAAGAATACCAGGAAAATGAAAGGAAGAGTTCACTTTTTTTTTACAATATGTAAATAAAAATAATAATACTCGGAACGACAGCGGATTGACACTCCGGATCAATTTTAAATCAATAACTGATAATCGAATTATCGAATACTGACT